AGGAATTTTTTTTTTCTTTCTTCTTTTTCCACTTTATTGATTGATCAAATTGAATGATCACATGTGATTATGTGATCAAAGGGGAGGGTATTAGTATTAGATAGCAATATGGCGTACGTGCAGGACTGTACAAGGACTCTACAAGGACTCCATGTTATGACTATGATGTGACTGTCTCTTTGTGACACGTACGTCTTTCGATGTGTGACTTGACAATGACTATATAAACTGTGTACTGCCTTTATTCTGTCTGGGAGAAAGAAACAGAGTAAACCAGTGGAACTTGAGAGAAACTTAAATAAACTTCCAGAGTTTGGCACACCACGATCCGTCTCTGTCTGCTAAATCCTAACACTTTCTTCAAGGAGTGAATATTAAAGGGTAGGGATGCAGCGATTGTGACATTTTGGGCCAACGGCCGATGTTTTTTCTTTGTTATTTATAAATATATGTTTCTTGGCAGCTTCAGTTTTTCTTGCATCGGTGCATCCCTATTAAAGGGTTAATGTTGCCACACTCTGTAATTCAGTTATTTATTATCATATATATCACAAATGAAGTTGTAATACTTTTCCTGCCACAGCCGCATGTACGTGATCAACAATGAGATCTGCACCAGGACTGTGTGCGCACAAGACGAGTACATGAAAGGTGAGGCAGGTCTTCAAGGCTAACATTCACATATTACACTATTTTTGCACATTTTATTGCTCTATAATGCCACAATTATCAATAATCAGGATGGAATAGTCTGAGGTAACTTATTTTTTCACAAAATTCAAGTAAAAATATTGAAATAATTCCCTTACTTAAAGGCCAAATATGTTTTTATGCCCAGCCATTTGCAACATAATTTAGAAAGTACAGGTATCTGGGTTAAACAATGGGAGTAAAAGAAAAATACGTAGTAAAGTACTGATACCAGGAACAAGAACACCTGTGACATCGGTATTATTAGACATTGGAAATATCAATCAAAGTTACTGTCACTGTAAAGATACTGTTGTTTTTCCCGCAGCGGAACTGTGCCGAGAGCGCTCCGGGTGGCCGAGACGCATCCAGCGCTCAGCTAATCAGAAGAGGCGTTGTCGCAGTCGTCGTGGCAACCTCTGAGGCGCCCCCGGAGCTGAGCCGTAAAACTCCACGAGTACAAGTCTATAAATCTTAGCTCAACACCCAGGGCACTTTTGAATTTGATCCGTATTTATCGATTTCACCTAATTGTCTGTTTTATTTTATTTATTTATTTATTTATTTGAATGGGACAGTGCATGTCAATGAACAGACATTAAAAACATGAATGTACATTGGGGTGAGCTGGTTTCAAATGTATGCGGCTGACACAGAATCACGATTTATGATATATTTTGCATTACTATAGCAACAGCACACCTTCTCTCATCACCATTTTACACATGATTTATAAAAAATACATTACGGTATGGATTGAGAATATGCGTACATTAAATGCGTAACTAATCTTCAATGAGTTTTGTTTAGCTTTTTCTGGCGTTTTGTATCTATTCACAAGGGTGACTTTTACCGTGTGGAAGACATGAAAAGGCAAAAAACCACTTCAATTCTTAGTTTTACTTCATATATTCAGTTCCATTTACAATATAATTTACAGACAGTAATAATCCAAACATCAGGACAAGAATCCAACACTGACATAACTTCCTTAGCAGCAGTAATGTCTGTAACAACATTTCCGAACTACAATCATCCTGAACACTAAATCACAAATAAGCATTACGTCGCACTCACACATCACATATCACTTTTTTTTACATTAAGATTTTACAGTTTGTACAAAGCAAGTTACAGTTGGAGCCCGAGCTGATGGGGGCTGATTATAACTGATGAAATGTTAAAGGGAATGTTTGTAACTTTATGTATTTCATGTTCTAATGAATGCAGATTTTTGACCACTCGACCATGTACTATCGTATAATCAGTCATAATAAATGTATCCTCCCGAGCAAGAGTGATTGCAAATGCTCCGCGCTTCTCGACTGTGCTGCTTTTGCCGCTGTGATTGGTTGATTGGTTTGTCACTCACTCAAACCTTGACAGAGGCGGGATTAACGCTTTTGAGAGAAAACATAACAATTTTACGACTATTTCCCCCAAATAGAACATAATTTACATCATGTCTAATGTGTCTTTTCTGTATCTGGTACAAGTGAACTTTGTGTTCATTAGGGGTGGTCAAAATATTATTTTCTTTGACAGAGGCTGCATCCGAATTCATACGACACACCTCCTTCCTTCTCCTTTTTATTCACCTTGACAACATTAACTTTGACCTAAGTGGCTTTAAATAATTCTTTAAAAGGCCTTGCCCTTCACTTGACCAAATCAAACATGACTTTGAATTGTTTTATGAAGGAAAAACAAGGAGGGAGACATTTATTTACTCTGAATTTGCATGTAGCAGAGAGTTTAAAAGACTGCCAAAAGGTCAAACATCCTTGTGAGTTTTTTTGTATATGTTCACAAAGAATTGGAAGACATGCCACGCTGTATCAAAGACCTCGTATGGCTGCAAATTTCAAATGGCAGAAATCCTGTCTTGTAGTCTGCGTGAGCACTTTGAGCTTGTGTTTTGCTCCATTTTTTCACGTTAATAAACTAAAACAGCGAGAAGGTCTAGCTCAGAGGGACAGAGGAGCTCTTTGAGGAGTAGGTAGCTGTGGCCTTAATGACTCATGGAGCAGCAATGTCCAGGCGGTTGGGCTCAGATCACACGTTTTGACACATATTCAGAATAAAAATTGAAGTAGTCCACACTTTAGGTCTGTGGACACTACATCCAGCTGTGAGGAGGTCTAGAGCTTACTTAATTTAAGCATATTCTATTCTATTCTATGCAAATACAGTGTATAGATCATCAATCATAAACTATTACAGTATTTCTAAAAGGAGACCTACAAGTTCCCATACATGGCCACTAGAGGATAGTAGGGAGCAACACTGAAACATTATTGTTATCAAGCCAGTGCATAGTCAAGTCCCTGATTTCCAAATACAGGAATATCTACATAGTGTATTAATGCAGTCTGTGTAGTTGATCTGTACATAAATCACCTGTTTAACACACACGTTGTAAAATACAGAAAGTTTAGGTTGTCTTGTCAACATTAGAAACGAGTTCGGGATTGATAATGGTAATCACTAGGTTTTCATGTTGTCGCCTTGCAATTTTCCACAGTTTTAGCATTTTCATCCATTTCATTGGAGAAATGCAAGATAGATTAATTAAATCCAATCTGTGAAGTATTAGAGGCGATGAAAGAACGTTCTGACAGAAAACACAACATACTAGTCCTTTAAAGAAACTACTTTGAGTTAAAACATCACTTTTTGAAGACAAAACAGGGGCTTTCTGACCAGGGTACTAACAACACACGGTAATGCAAGTATGTAGTATCTTGTGTGTCCCCCTGCACGGCAGAGAAACCTAGGACGCCGGAATGGGGGAAAGAATGTTGCATAAGGTAATTCCCACAAAGTAAAGGGAAAAAACAAACGGGAACACTTCCTCACTTGGGAGGCGCGGAGTCGAAATCTCCCCACAAATCTGAGGCCGCTGTGGAGCTGGTGTTCGACGCAGTGAATGAATTTGAACTGTTGGAATCTAGATCCAGTAAAAAGCCTGTTGGACAAAACAAGAAAAGTTAATAGCCTTTTATATTCAGACAGTTAAGCACACAACACAGTGGAAGATAATGTGACTGCTTTTGGATCTCACGAGCAATTTTCAAGCAGTGAGAATTTAAAAGCAAAAACGTATTACAACAAAAAACAGCCAATGAAACAGAAAGCAGATAGACTGAAAGGTACACAACATCAAGCAGCTGAACTAAACAAGCCATATTTCTATATCCAAGAGTCTGTTTCTCTTCAAATCAGTGTTCTGTGTACATCTACAACACTGCTATTATTCCTGTCCTTCCCGAGTATATCCACAGTATAATAAAAATCTAAACGCGGCCTTCGGTAAGATAAAGATTATAAAATATATTAAATTAGTGACTATTTTCTATAAAAAAAATTGTGTCATAATAATGTTACTAACGGCAAAATAAATCAAATAGAGTAAACATGTCACTGTAGTCGGAGTTCCTTTTGAAGCTGTGGCCAGACTCACATGTCTCCCCTTCTCATGCCACAGGTATGGTTCAAAAGTTGTTTTATTATCTTGAAACTATGTCATTTTACAAATTGTACAGTTTAATAGTTTTGTGGGTCTAGCGAACGTTAGGAAAACATTTTGTACGTCATGTTTAGAGTCAAGTAAAGTGGTAGTAATAACGTGTTTCTAGTCCTATCCAAGCAGTTAATATGCTGTGTTACCTACGTTGTTTGTGAGTGCAGACAGTGTTGAAATTCAAGTTGCTAGTAGTTTTAATAGTCGTTAAACCAGACCTTTTCCCTCCGTTTCGAGGTGCATTTCTTTTAAAATGGCCGACCTGCTTTTGTGTGAGTGGGGCATGTATGGATCTATAATAATAACGGCATGGATCTATTGGAGTGGGGCAGGGAGAGACAGAGAGAGACTGTAGGAGAGAGGCAGAAAGGAAATATAAATAAAATGTATGAATGCCTTTTTATGTAGTGAAGTAGCTAACTGATATGGTGTGGAGTGAATGTATAAATGTATGTGTTATCATGTTATGTAATTATATATATTTTCAATTGCACTTTATGGGTTCTTTTAGAATTTAATATTTTTGTTTAGTCAATTTAAATTATATTTTGTTGTCCAATTGTCTATTTTTTATGTATTAATGTTGAAAGAAAGAATTAATTTGAAAGGTTTGAATGATTCTAAGTATTAAAGAAGCTGTGGCCAGACTAACATGTCTCCCTTTTGTCTTTCCACAGCTCCAGGTTATTTTTAGGCAACACAGACTAGTCAGCTGTGTGCCTCTTGCTACCGCACAGCTTCCCCTAGGGCTGGCGCAGGTAACACACGGGTGTTATGCACAGGCGTCATGCACTGGTGTTATGCACTGGTGTTACGTGCAGGCGTCATGCACAGGTGCAGCCAAGAGGAACCCAGGACTAAACACAAGGGCCCAGAAGAGGAGCAGATGAGAATGGGAGCTTATCACCCGGCCAGCCCCAGGGAGCGGCAGGTATGCACCAGCACAGGTCCCCAACCCTCTGTGTGGGCCCCACTCTGCTAATCAGGCTCTGGGCACGTTCCAAGTTTGTTTAACGGGTTAAGGCTGGACTAACTCACTTTTTGACTTTGAATCAGCAGTTTCAAATGTGAGCGCTGTCCTCGCTCTTTCTGCCCCGACTACCCCCTCCCACTCATGCACATGCTCGTGTTGTTTACAGAGCTGGATACGACTCTAGTTTTGGCCCAAAAACAAATGGAAATGTCGCAGGTATCTTTGTTCCTCATTTGATCGCATGCCCGGTGCTAAAGTAAAGTCTCGTCCGCCTCTCTCCCGCTTCCTTACTCCCGGTCCTTCTGACGCCCGGCCTCTCTCCGTTCTCGTAGGGACTTTCATTTGGCTGTTTCGCTGTATAAGCATTAACAGGTAACAAAGACACGGGAAGTTTCAGGTTCACCTCCGCCATGATTGTATTCTATTTTAAACATATCTGAAGCTCTGGATTGTAGCAGTTAGAGTTTAAGATTAGAAATAAATTGTTGTTTTGTTCTTCTTAGTATATTCTCCTCAGAGCAGTCTCCTCCATTCTGACCCTGAACATAAACACAAACTCTACTTTATTTGACGCCTCGTTCAGATCTGGGATAAATATGACTGAAATTAAGACGCTGTGAATAAATATATAAAAAATGACTCAATAGCGCCCCCTACTCACTTAACTGTGGCCAAAATGTACTGAAATGACATCCAAACCCCAAACAGAGCCACACATTAGAACTTAAAGCTGGGGAACATAACTTTCAAAGCACAAAAATCAGACTTGGTAAAATGATGGGAGACCTTTGGGAACAGCTGGGGCCTCACTGAAGCGGCAAACAATGCCTTCTTATAATGATGATTACATTTTCTGTTGCAGATCATGCAGTCCTATCTCCAGAACCCTCCGGACCTGCGCCCCGGGTCCCTGCTCCAGTCTCCAGACCACTGCTTCCAGCTGCAGGAGCACTTGGCCTCTGGGGTTTATGGAAAGGTCATAGACTGCTGGAACTTAACGGCCCAGAGACCCGCGGTCCTGAAGGTCCTCCAGGTCCAGAACGCCGAGTTCTTTTGGCAGGAGGAGGTCAGTTTGAACACAGTGGGGAAAGCTGCTTTAGTTTTGCAAAGGGTAGAAAAGGTCTGGAACATTTCTGTAAAGTTTCCAAAACATTTCTACGGGAAGTTAAGCTTTTGGGAAATATGCCATAACTGGGAATGAATTGTAATGTAATGAGTGAGTGAATGGATGGTGTTGGTCGAGGGCTTTGATGGTCCTGTGTCTTCGGCGTCTCGCTTCTGTCATCACCGTGTGGAGAGAATGGAACAATGACTAATATAAATATGAAGCGACCTCTTACTTCCTAAAGAAGAGTCATTAATATAATAAAATATGATAATATGATATAATATAACATACTGATACTGTATAACGGCTGACGTTCCCTGTACATGTGTCCACAGGCGGAGATCCTTCAGATCCTGGCCCAACACCAAGGCCACAAGAACCACGTGGTTCAGTGGTTTCACTCTTTCCAGATCTCTGGGACTTTTATCCATGAGTTCGAGAAACTGGACATCAGCCTGAAGCAGTACGTGATGGAGAGTCCGTACGGAGGTCTGGGGCTGATGGAGATACGTCCCATCGTCTCTCAGGTACAAACTGATGTGTCGCCATGGTAACGCCTCACCCTGACTCGCACTGGGACCATGGATTGTTTTGATGATCCACAACTCTCAGAATCACAGTCTAAGGAGTATTTATTTTTTGTGTCTAAGCAAATGAATAGTTTTGCTACAACAGCAGATTGTCTCAGCCCTAATCTCTGCACTGAGAAAAGCACATGTTATTGATTACATGCTAAGTAGCTAAGACCAGGGTCATGGTTAGCATTGCTGCACACTTTAGAGTTTATCAAAGTTATGTTTTCAGAAAAAGAAAGATATTTCAGACTCAGACTTTATTTATCCCACAAGGGGCAATTTGTTTGAGCAGGGCACCAAAACTAACTAACATACATACACACACATATGCACACACATAAACATACATATACACACACACACACACGCACAAACATATACACGTATACACAAATCAACACACGCACTCACACACACAAACACACACACACATACATACATACAGACATATACACCCAAATACACACCCATGTGAATATTTTTGGGTATATTTACATGTTAATGTATGTGTATATCTACCTGTATATGTATGTACAGTATGTATATAGGTATGTCTATCTATATGTGTATATATATATATATATATATATATATATATATATAATATATATATATATATATATATATGTACGTGTATATGTACATATGTAATATGTATTGGGCGACAGTAGCTCAGTTGGTAGAGCATTGGCCTTAAGGCCAGAAGGTCGTGGGTTCAATTCCCACCTCTGCACCTTCTCCACCGACTCCCACTGATGACTGCTGTCGTTGTGTCCTTGGGCAAGACACTTAACCCCACTTTGCCCAAAGCCCCCACTGAAAGATCAAGGCTATGCTCACACTCAGAGAGCAGCCGTCCTCCTGTGGACTCACCACCTGCAGAGGGTCAGTGAGGGGCTGGTGCTGTGAGACTTGGGTGGCATCTCTGATTGCCACCCCCCTGACCCAGAAATGGATTAAAAGGGTAGAAAATGGATGGATGGATGGATGGATGGTATATGTACGATTATATGTTTGTGAATATGTAAATGTATATTTGTGTATGGTACTAACCTGAGTCCGTTGCAGATGGCACAGGCGCTCCACTTCCTGAAGGAACTCGGGATCATGCACAACGACATTAAACTCGACAACATCATGTTGGTGGACCACCTCAGGAAGCCTCTGTGCGTTAAACTTATTGATTTTGGTTTAGCTAGCACAGAGAATATTCAGGGCAAGGAGATTCATAACCGATACTTCAGGTACGTGAGCCACACAGGGACAGAATCAGGGAAGTCATCCATGTACTGTGCTATATAACTAATCATGACTTACTCTTTTAGGCATGTAGGGCATTCAAACACTTAAATTAGAAATGTATGTGTTTGGACTCGGGCTGTGATTAACCACTATTTTGATTAGAATCGACTCAATATTCATTTGGATTAGTTTTGGATCACAAAAGGCTAAAGCTAAACTTATGTAAAACCGAGAGGGAGAGAGAATCTATCTAACAATAATATAATAATATAAAAATAAAGTACAACAGCAGTGTTTAGGCCACAGCAGCTGAGGTGGTGAAGCCGCTTCCTCTGGTTGATGTTTGCAAAGTCTGCTTAGTTCGCACCATTTTCTCTGCTCTGGTTCAGAGTGAAATTCTCAATGTTCCAGAGAGATGAGTTCTGTAGTGGGTCTAATTTTGTCAGGAGCTCATCAGGACCAGCAGCGGCAAAAACACTGGAAACTTATGTAGACAGGAGAAAAACCAGAGACGCTCTTTAATGAAGAGGGATTTTGTAATTCTGAATACTTTATTAACATTTAAAAAAAGAAATCTGCTTTTGTCTGGGTCAGTGTAAAACCATGATCTAAACTGCAGGAATATTTACAGATAAATAACAGTTTGAGATAAATTTAGGACTTGCTGCTGTTTCCAGTGCGTTCAAAAGTAAAACAGTTAAATCAGTTTGAACCATTTCTTAAATCAATTTGAACCATTTCTTAAATCAGTAAAAGAATAATTCTATGTGAAGTGTGTCTCAGCGTCTCCAAAAAGCTCTAAGTTAAAACCATGATTCCAAACGATTGAACTTGTCTTTGTTCCCACAGAGCTCCAGAGGTCTTTTTCGGGGCCCCTGTGGATTCGGCGGCTGACATGTGGGCCCTGGGCATCATCGCCGTGACAACGTTCATGGGAAGGATGCCTCTTCCAGGCCCCAGCGACGAGGACATGGTCAGAGTTTGTTTCATTAACACCCGTGACCTGGTCCAGGCCACTGGCACTTTACTGTCACTTTACCGTCACTTTACTTTAACTTTACCGTCACTTTACTTTAACTTTACCGTCACTTTACTGTCACTTTAGCGTCACTTTACTTTAACTTTACTGGCACTTCACTGTCATTTTACCGTCACTTGACTGTCACTTTAGCGTCACTTTACTTTAACTTTACTGGCACTTCACTGTCATTTTACCGTCACTTGACTGTCACTTGACTGTCACTTTACTGTCACTTTACTGCCACTTTACTGTCACTTTACTGTCCTTATTTGTGTCTACTGTCACATTGTATTATTGTATTGGTGTGTGTGTGTGTTCTTGTGTGTGCTTACATGTGTGTGTGTGTATTTGTATATGTGTTTTTCCAGTATTCTAGTATTTATTGTCTGTTTTTTGTTCTTACGCTGTTGTTTTTATTCCATGTTCAAGTAAATGTCATTCATTCATTGCACTAATCCAAATGTATGGAATGTACAAAGTGTAGATTGTGTGTTACATACATATTGTGTGTTGTTTAAAAGCATGTTGTGTGTACAGATGAGGCACATCGTGGAGACTGTGGGTCACTGTCCTGAGTCTGTTTTAGACTCTGGTCTCTACACAGCAGAGTATTATGGTCTCTCCAGCAGCAGGACATGGGAATACAAGGTTAGTAGAAATACTTCAATCTGGAAATGTCCAACAAATGACCAACATGAGCTCATGGTGTGTGTTTCAGTTTCCTCCTCTGGACCCGCAAAAGAGAGCGATACATCGTTTGGACGACATTCACAAAGTAAGAGCAAAGAAAACAGACTTTTGTCCCATTTATGCCTCTACATTCTATCCTTCTGATCTTACTTTAAAATTAATATTGCATGTTTAAGTTTTCCAATTTTCTCAGCACCAAATCTATTACATTTATACAAAAGTGTAAACTCTGTTCCATCATAACAACAGCAATAGATCCAGAACTGAGGCTGTAGATCCAGGACTGAGGCTGTAGACCCAGGACTGAGGCTGTAGACCCAGGACTGAGGCTGTAGACCCAGGACTGAGGCTGTAGATCCAGGACTGAGGCTGTAGATCCAGGACTGAGGCTGTAGACCCAGGACTGAGGCTGTAGACCCAGGACTGAGGTTTTAGATCCAGGACTGAGGCTGTAGATCCAGGACTGAGGCTGTAGACCCAGGACTAAGGCTGTAGATCCAGGACTGAGGCTGTAGACCCAGGACTGAGGCTGTAGACCCAGGACTGAGGCTGTAGACCCAGGACTGAGGCTGTAGATCCAGGACTGAGGCTGTAGACCCAGGACTGAGGCTGTAGACCCAGGACTGAGGTTTTAAATCCAGGACTGAGGCTGTAGATCCAGGACTGAGGCTGTAGACCCAGGACTGAGGCTGTAGATCCAGGACTGATGTTTTAGATCCAGGACTGAGGCTGTAGATCCAGGACTGAGGTTGTAGATCCAGGACTGAAGGCTAAAGACCCAGGACTGAGGCTGTAGACCCAGGACTGAGGCTGTAGACCAAGGACTGAGGCTAAAGACCCAGGACTGAGGCTGTAGACCCAGGACTGAGGCTGTAGATCCAGGACTGAGGCTGTAGACCCAGGACTGAGGCTGTAGACCCAGGACTGAGGTTTTAGATCCAGGACTGAGGCTGTAGATCCAGGACTGAGGCTGTAGACCCAGGACTGAGGCTGTAGATCCAGGACTGAGGTTTTAGATCCAGGACTGAGGCTGTAGATCCAGGACTGAGGTTGTAGATCCAGGACTGAAGGCTAAAGACCCAGGACTGAGGCTGTAGACCCAGGACTGAGGCTGTAGACCAAGGACTGAGGCTAAAGACCCAGGACTGAGGCTGTAGACCCAGGACTGAGGCTGTAGACCAAGGACTGAGGCTAAAGACCCAGGACTGAGGCTGTAGACCCAGGACTCAGACTGTAGAACAAGGCCCATATATCTTTGCTGATCTTCTTTGTGTGTTTCAGAGTGGACCTCCAGGGCGTCCATTTGCTTCAGTCGAGCTCCAGGATCGACGCGCCTTCGTTAATCTGGTGAAGCACATGTTAGACCCAGACCCGGCAACGAGGATCACTCCAGCAGCTGTGATGTCGCACAGATTTGTGAGCATGCACCACCTGGCCAAGGGAGTCCCATGCTAGTGAGTATTGCCCCCTGATCACAAGCCACATGTCATAGATACAAACGATAACACAATGTATAACGGATTGTACACAAACGCACACCAGAATATTAAGATGCAGAAGATAAATAATACACTCAACATATTCATGGGCAAACATACCCTGGAAAATATACCTGACTTTGGCGACTGGTGAAAAACCCTGGACTGTAAGAAAGTAAATCTTTACTTAAGTTGCTTAATGTCGCTCTGTTAGGTCCATCTTCAAATCAATCACACCAGAAGTAGTTCTTTCTCAATATATAAAAGATAAATATTAAAAACATCACTTTACATTGATTCAAATCGCTCTCAACAAACGTTGATCAAATAATCAGAAACAAAATATAAAAATGTACAAATTCAAAACAATAAAAATGTTTTCTTAACTCTAGTTGAAGACACATTAGTGACTTAACTTTCTCCATTGTGAGATCAATAAAGTTTATCTTTGATATTGGAATGTAACTTAAGTTATTATTTTGGTAAATCATATGTGGCTATGTGCTGAATGCTCTGTATTGTAATTCACTTTATCTGTACACACTGTATCTTCAACTGTTACACAAAGGGATAAAAGTACATACAACTTGTTGCACAACCCACACAAAGGGCATTTAGCAAAGACTGAAGACCTAAGTCGTCTCCTACAGATAAATATTACAAAACCATTTGGTTGCATACAATATATGGAGTGTTTATTGTCAGTAATTGTGGTAAAATGTTTTTTTTTTTCAGTCATTCCACGAGCGTCCACATCATGGACAAGGCCAATGGCATCGTGAGGAACGAGCTGCCGTCAAACTGCCTAGCCTTGTTCAAGCCTGTTCAGAGCGTTCCCGTCTCAGCTCCCGTCAAACGGAAACGGACTCAGGAGGACGACTGTGACGTGGCCTCACCGCCAAAGAAAAGGCAGATCCAGGAGACCACCGCAACAGAGAGAGGACCTGACACCATCGAGGCCAACCTCCCAGAACCAGATCCACTGAAGGAAACAAGGACCAGCCTCCAGCAAGATCAGACCATGACCTCACCAACATCCCCCAACCTTCGCATCGGGACGTGTTTCAGATCTCCAGGTCCACCAAAAATGGAACTTCCCAGTGCCCCAAGACCAGGAGACAACACCAGCTGTACAAGAGAGGACTTTCACCAACTCACCAAATCCACCCAAAAGAAGGACTCGTAGCAAGGGGGGCGGGCTAAGAACCTTGACAAAGATCGTCTAGACAGAAGCCTCCACAAGTGAAAACCCATCGCCAAAGCCACCAACAGCAAAGACTCGAACCCACAAAGAGTGACAGAGGAGAAAGAAGAAAGTCACATCCACAGTCGACAACGGATCCCAGAGTCCACCAAGGATTTAAAGAAGGAGCAGGAGCCAGAGTCACAGCCAGCAGCAATATTCTTTAAAGATTCCCCTTAAATGAATCTATTTTGTATCACACACACACATCATCATCATCATCATCATCCTCATCCTCATCGCCATCGTCATACGTGTCTATATCATGTATGACACACACACATGTGAAAATGCCGGTTAACAACTTGTATTTCATTCATTGAGGGCGGGACATAAGTCTGTCTGGATCTCACAGCTGTGGGTCTGTCCATCACCAACCTCTTACTGAGGAGTGGTTTTGTGAAGCTAAGCAGGGCAGGGCCTGGTTAGTGCTGTCATGTGAGACCTATGGGAACAGCAGGTGCCACAGTGGGCTGTCGTTGTGTGCTCAGGCAAGACACTTCACCCACATCCTTGATTCTACCCCCAGTCAGGCCCAGGCTTGAAGTGGGGGGTAGGGACAAGGCGGCCGCAGCTCTTTGGTTAGAGACTGATGTGTTTGTGTGAAACCTGCTCCCATTGGTCTCCCATGACAGTACTAACCAGGCCCTGCCCTGCTTAGCTTCACATGGCCACTCCTCAGTAAGAGGTTGGTGATGGACAGACCCACAGTTGTCCAGACAGACTTATGTCCCGCCCTCTATGGATGTGTGTGTCATACAGCAGGGGCGCATCTACCCATTTTCTGAGGGGGATGCAAACTGACCCCCCCATGTTAGACTTTTTTTTTAAAGAACTCACTCAGTTACCAGCCAGTTCTCTCAAACCAATTATAAAAAAGGACATTTTATGAAATGCTCTCCTACATTTATCATTATGTTAGACCCAAAACATAAAAGTAAAAATGATTAGGAGATTGATAATTGAGAGTAAGTCTATATTCAACCAGAGTTTTCTGAAGTGAGAGGCTGGCCCCAAATCCAAACAAAAAAACATGTATGAGCCAATTTGATTTTTTATCTAGTTTCAAAGTAAAAAAAAACAAGAGTAGGTCTAAGTGTGTGCAGTGGCAGCATCGTGTGTAGTAGAGAAGTAGAGATTCACCGCAAGACGAGGTTAGATTCCTCTGCTGCTGCTGCTGCTGTGACCACCTGCCCTGCTCCACAAAAACACAAAAACACCTGAAGAAGAAACAAAACACAACTATCAAAAGAAGAGAAGAAAAGTTTGGGACCATCTGCAAAGGGTAAGAGTCTGTCTTTATCTCATGCACATACTGTATATCTATAATAGAACAGACAAATATAAACTAAAGTAATCACTGTTGGAATGAAAGTCTAGACATTCAAAATGATGAATAGCATCAAACTGGTGCTGAGGGGTAGGACCAGCTGGATGGGACTGGATTCATCATTACATTGACAGCTTTGGAGAAAACATTTGTGATCCATTTGATTTAATCGGTTAAAGTTGTTGATATTCACAGTAAAACACAAACTTCCAACAGTAGAAAAATACAGATGGACAGAACACATCTCTGACCACAGCGACTGAGGTTACTTTACCTTCATTTGTTAGGCCCGAGCCCCAACCGGGGTAAGGGCCTATTGCTTTTTTTGTGTTTGTGTTTCCTACCATTGTTGTAGACGGAACTAATCCCCAATGGTTCAATTCCATTTGTTCTTGTCCCTAAATCACAACAGTAATAATCTTGGAGGACTTTACAAAACTGTGGACTTCACCAACAATAGATTAACACAATAAATGCAGTGATAAAAACACACAGAGCCATTGGTCCAGAAGGAGCAGAGACCAATGTCCATCAATGTTGATCAAGTCCATCAATGTGGGTGAATGTGGAGTGTGCTGTAGGTGTGTGTTTTAAAGACGTTTCCAAAGGCTGTGTGAATGTTAAATTTGTGAAAACATGTGATAACTTTATGTTCAAGTTTTGTTGGAAAATTTTATGTATTTGTTTGCAGGTTCCAAAATGTGTGTTTGCAGTTATGGACGCTCACCGGATGTGACTATGAGATCTCAAACCCTGCTTTAGGTTAGATTTGTTTGGAATATATGTTACCATGTATTTTTTCACAGTTTTCAGTTTGAGCATGATTGTTTTGTGTCTCCCATCCACAGCAGCCTCCTCTGTCCCTAAACCTGTGTGTACTCGACTTGGCGATGGCGATCCTTCTTGATACGAGTCTGTGAGTATTTGACCCGGTCTCACAAGAAAACACAGATACATTGATGTGTAATTGTACTTTTTGTGTTTAGGAAAAGTCTCAATGTGTGAAGTCTAAGCAGAGAGCCGACTTTTCTCTCCACACACACTTCCTCCAGCTCATCTGGGGGACCCCAAGGGGTTCCCAGAGAGACATAGTCCCTCTGTGTCCTGGGTCTTTACCAAAGCTCAGGACCAGAGCTGAAGGACACATGGACCTGACACTGGACCAGTGGAGGATACTGTCCTTTCTTTTTAGGTCCCTGTGCATTTCATGAGTAAGTTCACCTTTGTGTATTTTAGCAAATATCTGTGAAGTTGCTCTTTGTAAAATGGTGTCTTTGTCGCTTGAATTATTCATGAGAAACTTATTTAAACATTTCAGGAGAAAGAAGCACAGCTGGTGTTGGAACTTAAATGGACGTCCCAAAATCAATATATATTGCAACATAAACATGGGGGCTCAGTTGATAGATCATTGGTCTTTGGACCTAATGGTCGGCACGGTGGCTGAGTGGATAGCTCTCTCGCCTCTCAGCAAGAATGTCCTGGGTTCAAATCCCGGTCGGACCAGGGCCTTTCTGAGTGGAGTTTGCATGTTCTCCCCGTGTCTGCGTAGGTTTCCCCTACCACTAAAAATATGTCCAATAGTTCTGGCATGTGCCTCCTGTACTGGCGCCCCCACTCCCATCTCTGTGTGGAGTGAGAGACAAATGCCCAAAAATTAACAATTGTAAACTGCTTTGAGACTCAGATCTGCAGTGAAAAGGCGGTATATAAATATAGATTACTACTTACTATGGTCGTGGGTTCAATCCCCCCACTACCCATGCGCCCACTGATCTCTCTTTGGGTCCCTGAGCAAGGCACTTAACCACACTTTGCCTGAAGCCCCCGCTGAAGGAGCAGCATCTATCTGTGAATCCCCCACCTGCAGGATCAGTGAGGGACTTGAAGGCAGCTCTGATGTCCGTCCCGACCCAGAAATGGATAAATAAAGAGAACGACATGACAAAAAATGTATGTTTTCTCTTGTTTTTATTTATTCTGGAACAGGGGTATGAAATCTTTTGCTCTGGAGCCACATGCAAGTATTCCAAACATTTGGAAAGAACATTTGAATAGATGTACCCATCTAATTTGCATACAGTGATGTCATATGGCGTTGAAAATTGAGGATTTTAGAATTATCATAAAGACAGACATATACATGACTAAGACATGAACACACAAACAGAACTCACACTGTAAGGCAAGTTTATTTGTATAGCACAATTCATACACAAGGCAACTCAAAGTGCTGAACAAGAACAAGAATTAAAATCATAAATAATCACAGAACATTAAAAAGAAAGATAAAAATATAAAATCCCTCAGTTGTATGCACAGCTAAACAGAACTGTTTTTAACCTGGTTTTAAACATTGTCAGAGAGGAGGCCTGTCTCACATCTTCAGGAAGATTGTTCCAGATTTTTGCAGCATGAATCTGAAAAGCAGCCTCCCCATGTTTAGTTCTGACTCTGGGCAATAACAGGAGTCCAGTCCCTGTGCTCCTCAGAGTCCGGGCTGGTTCATATGGGACTAACATGTCAGTAATATATTTTGGTGCGAGGCCATGGAGAGACCTGTACCCTGCTAGCCTGGTCGTACCACACCACAGTGCAAATTACATTTCGTACTAAGGTCTGGATTTGCTCCATTGAGCTCCGTTTACATATAGGAGGTGTTAACTCCTTTTGCAGATTGAAACGATTGGATCCGAGTTTACCGTGACATATGTAATGCGCCCGAGTGTGTTGTTAGCATTTAGCATTTAGCCTGGCCATCTCCTTTGCCGCTAACGGAGCCCGTGGGGAGTAGCGCCACAATTTTTTCTAGCGATTACATTTGCTTAACATTCCTATTGCTCCGGCTTCAATTTCTTGATAGAACCAGACCGGATAACTTTACTATCGCATTTTTTTCGCCAGTGCCAAACTATGACCTTCCTGTTCGACGCAAACTTTTGACAAACTTTTGTTGAGTATGCAACAGTACTGTGCCAAATCCACTTTGAAAAGGGGCCTCCTCATCACCTCAAACGGTTCTTCTTGACGTGAAGGAGCAGCGGCTCTAGTCAGGAGGAAACTCACTTAGAGCCTTGTATCTGCTATTTTGTCCTTTGGGTCGTTCTCCAAAGCTCATGGTGGGAACATACACACAGCAGTAAATGCTGAGTGTTGACTGTAGCCACTGCTCCCTCTCACGTCACAATTAAACAGCAGAATGATACTGTTGTCATCTTGTTTTAAATCCTCATACAGTCGTCTGGAGACCTCCCTCAGGTTTCCTTCCTGAACAAAACCAATGTGTTATAAGAGTTCAGAAGAGCAGCAGGACACAAACTGAGGGCCTCTCACTTGGGATGAGTCTGGTCTCTTTGTGGCAGGTTCCTCTCTTCCTCTGATGTGGACTGCAGCCTCCACAGATAACACTCACAAGAATAGATCCTACATTTGGTCCAATACAAGTTTGGTGCCACTTACATTCTAATGTGCAGATACAGACTGAATACTCTTTATCTCTGATATTGGCTTACGAATGTTTGATGTGTGTTCTTTGGACTATATGTGGCTGGAGCTGGAAGTACAGCAGTCATTGTAGTTGTAGAAAACCATTGCTTTTCCAACACTGAGCTTG